GATCGCAGAAAAAGAGGAAATCATCAAAATACATACTTGAGTAAGATGAGTGAAGCGTACCTGACGAACAAAAAAGCGGAGCACGAAAACCCTAGATTTGTTTCGAAACGAAGGAAAGGAGGAGAAAGTGTGAGAATTTTCTCTCTTAGTTTTATATAGAGAGGTGAAGTTAATGAACGGCTGAGATACGTTGTCGTAAGGAAGATAGAGGGTGATGGTTAGAGTCCCTTGACTTTGTCCTTCTACACATGTAGACAGATTATGAGTCGCTAAATTGCCTACGTGTCACCCTTTTTAAAAACCTCGGGTTAGAGTTTTGCATTAACATATGTAGTCAATTAAAATTTGAACAAGTGATGTATATGAGTAGTGGAGTACTATAGTAGGTAAAATTGCATGCTTTTTATACTTTAAATATACAACGACTATACGTATATAATAAATTAATAATATACTTCGAATAACCCATGTTGGTATTTCACAAGATACCAACAACAAATTATATCGATACCAACAAAACATTTTTGCATTCGTTGGTATCACTGAATAAAGTTGTTAGGATCACGATGATACCATCTAAAGTATAATGAAATACCAACGCGTGTTATGACACTTTTTTCCCAAGTGCGGTATAAGTGAATGGACGAATATGCCCTTATTAGAGTCATGTATGACTCTAATCACTAGTCCTAGAAATCCTCGCAATGTTAGTGGGTTGTTTGGTTGCCTTGTGATTGATAAAACAGAGGCAAATGCAATTTCCTTGGGAAATTATACCCCTTGAACTAACAACTAAAGTTATAACATAACGCCCAATCAAAAGAACTTTCAGGGCATAGCTAGCTATGACGTGCACATTATTATTATTACGGAATTTTCACCATATACCACTGAGTTAAAGCTTAATTCACCATATACCACCAAAAACTTTCTAATACACCAAATACCACTCAGTTACTGTACATTAACACAAAATGGTTTTTTTGGTAATTGTCGTTAGTCTGCCGTTTGGGGTAATTTACTAATTCACCATATACCATTATTTTGTAAGTTATTTCACCATATACCATTTAGTTTAAAGTTATTTCACAGTATACCCATAATTTTACAACGGTTTTTTTAAAAAAAAATAAAAAAAAAATAAAAAAAAAAAAACTAGCCGTTGAACACTTATAACGGCTAGTTTGTGTATATAAATGCAGTACTTGAGGGATTCACGTACCAAGTCACACTTCTAAAAGCATTTGCAAAGATGTCCACACACTCGAGATCATCATCGTCATCTTTCGATTCTTCGTACGTAAGAGTGTCAAACAAAGCTTGTTGTTGTGGTAGGAAGTTTGCAATAAGGAGCTATGATTCGGCAAAAAATCCACAAAGGTTGTACTATAAGTGTGATGTACGTGAGACATTCAGATGGTGCAAAGGTAATGTGGAGCAAAAATGTCCCGTCGGGTTATGAAAATCAAAGCAGGGGAGGGATAGACACGCAATTCTATGGAGGTGAGAGCTTGTTGAAACAAGAGTTGAAGGAGCTCAAGAGAAGAGTAGCAAAGTTGCAAAAGATAGTAAATGCAGCAATAAAAATTGGAGTAATTATGTTTATGGTTATTGTATTTGTAGCCTTGAAATGATTAATGTAAACAAAATTTCATTGCTTAAATAAATTTGCATTTGAATTGTTAGCTTGCACTAGTAGAAAAAGGTCGATTTTCGACGGATGTGTTCCGACGGATTTTTACAAAAATCCGTCGGAAAAACGAAATTTCCGAGGGATTTAGATTTCGTCGGAAATTTCCGACGAATTTAGATTTTTCGTTGGAAATTTCCGACGGAATTTAAATCCCTCAGAAAATACTTAGTTTCAGACGGATTTTAAATCCGTAGGAGATTTCCGACGGATTAAACCATTTTCCGACGGAATTAAGGTTTTTTTTTTAAAAAAAAAAAAAAAAAAAAAACTCTAATAAACCCGGAACTACCCCCCTCCCCCTTTCATTTCTCATTTCTCTCTCTTCTCCTCTTCTTCTCTCCGCCTCTTTTTCCCCTCTCTTTCCTCATTTCTCGTTTCTCTATCCTCTCCTCTCCTCTTTCTCTCTCCTCTTTCCTCTTCTCTTTCTCTCTCCTCTCCTCTTTCCTCTTCTGTTTTCTTCTATCTTTTCGTCCTCCTCTTATGTCTTCTTCTTTCTCTTCTTTCTCTGCCCTTCGTCCTCCATTTCTATCTCCTCTTCTGTCCTGCATCCACTACAAGTAAACAGCTTGATTCCGACAGAAAAAATCCGTCGAAAACATCGAAAATTCCGTCGGAATCAGCCGTCGCAAAACCCTTTGTAGGAAATTCGACCTTTTTCGACGGAATTTCCGTCGGAAGGCTAGTTTCTGACGGATTTATTTCTGTCGGCGCTTTTTTTTACTTTAATTGAAATTCCATCGCAATGTTCCGACAGAAATTTCCGTTGGAGTTGGAGAGGTTTCCGACGGAAATTTCCGTCGGAAGAGGTATATTCCGACAGAATTTTCCGTCGGAAGAGGTATATTCCGACGGATTTTTCCATCGGGAGAGGCATATTCCGACGGAAATTTCCGTCGGAAAAGTCAATAAAAAAAAAAACCAGCCCCACCCCTAACCTCCCCCACCTGCCCAGAAAAATCCCCACCCACACCCACCCAGACCACCCCCACCCACACCCACCCAGACCACCGTACTTCACCCACCCCACCTAACCAAACCGAAAACTAACCCAAACTAGCCACCTAGCTCAGATTCACCAACCACAACCACCGTATCTCCACCTCGCCACCCCCACAACCCACAAAAACCACAAAATCGAAAATCGGAACCACAAAAACCAAAAAACCGAAACCACAAAATCGTAATCAAACCCACAAAAACCACAAAATCGAAACCACAAAACCAAAAAAACGAAATCGAAACAAAAACCACAAAATCGAAAAAAACAATTTATATATTACATAATCCAAAAATCTGAAAAATTACAAACTTACATTACAAAATTTAAAAACTTATATTACAATTTCATCAAAAAAATAATTATAATCATAAATTTGTGAAAAAAAAACCTAGATCTACAAACTAACCAATATTTAACCTATATTTTCGGCCTTCTACGCTGCTTGACGGTGGACGACGCAACGACTGGTGGTTGAAGATGTTGTTGAGCGGCGGCGGTTGTTGCGGTTGTTGTTGTTGCGGTTATGGTTGTTGATGTTGGTTTTTTTTTTTTGAAGGGTTGTTGATGTTGCGGTGAGAGAAAGAGAAATGAAGAGGGTTGGGGGAGGGGGACCGTTTATTTAGGGTTAAGTTTTTTTTTATTTTATTTTTTTTAAAAAAAAAAAATTAAAATTCCGTCGGAAATTTTTTTCCCTCGGAAGCAGTAAATTCCCGAGGGAAAAAATTCCGTCGGAAAAATTCCGAGGGATTTTCCATCACAACATACCTTTTCCGGCGGAATTTTCTGACAGACCCAAATTCCATCGGAAAATTCAAAATTTCCGACGGAAATTTCGTCCGTCGGAAAACGGCCTATTTCTAGTAGTGGTCCTCCATTTCTATCTCCTCCTCTGTCTTCCGTGCGTCAACAACAACAACGACTACCTTTAAGGCTTCAACCGTCAACAACAACAACCACAACCACAACCACCGACAACCAACATCAACACCAACAATAACGGCGTAACAACCACCGTCACCCACTCTCAAGGTATTTGTTTTGTAGATTTATTTTTAATTTAGGTTAGATTGTAGATCTAGTTAATTTTTTATGTAATTGTAATGTTAATTATAAATTTGATTAGATAATTGTATTTCCTTTAATTTTTGTTGTTTAATTATCGGTTTTTTTTTTTTATTTTTCTATGAAATTCTAATTAAATATGTAGATCTACTGATTTTGATATGAATGTGTGGTATTTTTCGATTTTGTTGTGTTAATTTTCGTATTTTTGGCGTAATTTATATTTTTTTGGGGTTAATTTTCGATTTTTTGGGGTAAAATTTTGGTGTGGTGGTGTGAGGGTGGGATAGGGGATGGTGTGGGTGGTGTCGGTGGTGGTTGGTGGATTTGGTTTAATTTTCGGTTAGGGTTACGGTTGGTGGTTTCTTGTGGGTTAGAGTTAGGTGGGTTAAGGGTTACGGTGGTGGGTCTGGTGGGTTAGGTTTGGTGGGTTACGGTGGTGGGTTACGGTGGTGTGTCTGGTGGGTTAGGTTTAGGGTTAGGGTTAGGGTCTAGTGGGTTAAGGTGGTGGGTCTGGTGGGTTAAGGTTGTGGGTTAGGGTAAGGTGGGTTTTTTTTTTATTTATTTTTTTCAGCATTTTCCAACGGAAAATTCCATCGGAATATACCTCTTCCGACGGAAAATTCCGTCGGAATATACCTTTTCCGAAGGAAATTTCCGTCGGAAACCTCTCCAATTCCGACGGAATTTCAATTAAAGTAAAAAAAAGCGCCGACAGAAATAAATCCGTCGGAAACTATCCTTCCGACGGAAATTCCGTCGGAAAAGGTCGAATTTCCTACAAAAGTTTTTGCGACAAACTGATTCCGACGGAATTTCCGATGTTTTTCCGTCGGAATCAAGCTGTTTTCTTGTAGTGTTGGTTTGTCAAAAAATTAAGGCTACATAATTGTGCAATAGTTGTATTACATTTCTTGGAAATGTCAAAAACATGTTTATGCCAAAACAACCGAGTACTTAACATTTTCTTCAAAAAAAACCTGATACTTAACACTTACGTTTTAACAGTTTTCACCAAAAAATTACACATCATGCCTGGTAGCTTCAAGGATGCTGATTGTCAGCCTTTCTCTTCTTCCCCCTTCCTTTGCCTTGCTGTGAAGTGGTTGTTGCATTTTCTGACTTTTTTGCTGTTGCCTTTCTTGCCTTACAGGTTAAAGCATTGTGTCCTAGTTCTTTGCAAAGACTGCATTTGTTGTTCTTGTGCCTCTTTCCTCTCCTTGCTTCATGAGGGGCTCTTCTTCTCTACTTAGCTGGTCTGCCTGCACTTCTTTTGACAGTTGGTGGTGTAATTTCAGGCACATCAAGTGTTGGCCAGTGAGTTGGATCAGCCATGGGGTGGATGTGGTTTGCATAAGTCAGCTTATATGCAGCCCCCTTGAAGTATGGTGACACAAAATCCTTGGGTTCAAGTCTTTGGCTGTAAATGACCCTGAGACCATGCTTGCATGGTATCCCTGATCCTTGCCATTTCCCACACCCACAGGTCATATTCCCAAGTGTGGCAGGGAACTTGACATGGCCATCCCTGACTTTAAATTCTCCAACACTAGCTGTTGTCATATGACAGAACCTAGACTCATCACTCCTTGTCTCCAAAACCCCTTTAGCATACTCTGTTAGCTCATTAGGTTCCATATCAATTGCTTTATCAAACCTAGAACCTATCCTTTTCATGCACCAATTCCTTACAGCTGATTCAGTCCCAAAAAAAAAAAAAAAACAGCAAGTAGACAAAACATATCACAATTAATATTAGAACATTGTGCTATAAAACTACCATTTGCATGCATGAAATCAAAAAATTAGGCACAACATTTTACCTTCTAGTAATGTCAGCACAGGCATATCTCTAATGGGCTTTGTGCATGCATTGAATGACTCAATAAAGTTTGTTGTGTTATGATCACAACAAACTGTTCTGTCAAACTTGTGCACACTCCATTACTCTTCCACATTTGTAAGATACTGAAACGCTGCATTATACTCCTTAATCTTAGACATTGCTTTTTCATACACATATACATTGTATGCATTTGTTACAATCCAAAAGAGCTTATGAAAATCTGTCCCACTCCATCTTGCAATCTTGCAATTTGAGTACAAATGCTGGCAGCATACTCTCCTAGTTGCTCTTGGGAATACCTCAAATAGAGCTGATTCAACATCCTTCAAAACAACATGGCAAAGTTAGATAATGGAGCTCAAGATTACCAACACAAATTTAAAAAAACAGGAGAAACTTACCCTCATCCTGTCACTTATAAAAGTCCAGTCATCCTTTTGAGATCCATTATGGCTAAATAAGCACCTTAGGTTTATGAAGAAATAAGTCCATCTATCTATGCTCTCTGTGTCAATAAGACCATAGGCTATTACAAAAATTTCATTATTCCCATCAATTGAAACTGCAGTGAGCATAATCCCTTTGTAATAGCCACTTAGATGTGCACCATCTATTCCTATGATAAGTCTGCAACCACCCAAGAATCCTTTGACCTGAGCTGTAAAAGATATGAAACAAGCCTTGAATTTGAAACTCTAATCCCCACTGTCAGTCCATGTAATAAGAGCATATGACCTAGGATTTGTGGCCTTAATCATCTCTGCATACTTTGGTAGGAGTGCATAAGACTGTGCAAAACCACCATGTACTTTCTCCCTGGCTAAAGTCTTCACTTTGTAGAACAATCTCAGCTTGACATGGATCTTGTACCTTTCCATGCACACTCTTTGCAATGATTCAATTGGAATCTCTAGGTTTGTCTCCAAGTCTTGTATCAAATGTCTGCAAAGCCATGCTGAAGAGACCATAGGATTCTCTACCAGCCTCCCATAAGTTGTATGTTCTCCTTCTAGCTTCTTTATAGCCTAGCTGACTTTATCAATAAGGACTGCTGCATGAATCCTCCAATTGCAATCACTGATCAAACACCTTGCTGTTTATCTTTGATTGTCAGCATAGTCAGCTGAAACAGAGAACCCTTCTTGTATGCAGTAATCTCTGAATACCTCAAGAAATTGTGCTTTGGTTTCAAAAATTAACCATGGTTCAAGTTCAGTGGACCCAAATGGTAAGTGAGACCATACTTTGCCATTTATGTACAGCTTGTCTAAAACATGGGACCCATCTAAGTAATCTTCAAAGGTATTCTCAGGGATATTATCAGCTAGATCTTCTTCTTCCACAATGTAGTCATCCTCAATGTTCAAGTCCATATCCAAATCATCCTCAACATCAGAAACTTCATAATCATCATCTTCACTATCATCACAAGGCCATGCATCAGACTCACCATCACTTTCCTCAACAGGCATAGGTTTTTTGCTCCTAGTGTTCACTTGCCTCCCTGCTCCTTTTCCCAACCACAACACCATACTTATTTGATGTGTTTCTAGGCACCCTCCACTCTTTGGGTTTAATTCTAGTTTGTTCTTTAGTCTGGGTTGGTTGCCTTGGTGTAGTTGATGTTGGTTGTGGTGGTGGTGGTGGAGGTGGTGTAGGCTACCTGGCTTGGGTTGGTGCTCTCTGCATATGTGGGTTGTTTGGGGAAGCATGGTGTGTTGGTGTTGGTGGTGGAGAAGGATGCTCTTGGGAAACATTTGGTGGTGGAGGTGTGGGTTGTCTTGGTTGAGTGGACTGTGTAGGTTGGGTTTTTTTCTTCTTTGGAGTTAGTTTTTTTCTTCTTGGAGTTTTCTTTGGTGGTGATGGTGTCTTACATTTTTCATGGGTTGAGATGTTTCTTTTTGTGAGGGTTGAGGTTGAGATTCCCCTGGAAATACCTTTTCAGCTGTTGGGGTGTTAAATACCCTAACATAGTCAACCCCATCATCATCTGCATTCACAACAGGGACCTCTATAGCCACAATAAATAGCTGTTGGGCCTTAAGCTCCTCCTCGGCTTCTAGCGCCTCTGCATTTCTCCTATTTTCTTCCTCCCTTAGCCTAATTTTTTCAACCCTGTTCTTCAAAGTTTTTGCCCAACTAGCTTCTGCAGACTGAAACACAAGATATGGTGTTTCTGTCTCTTCTATGAACACTTCTATATCATCCTTCCCTTCATTCCACTCCCACATTTTCAACATTGCCCCATCATCAACTAACTCTAACTTACGATTAGTTCTAGGTTTACTCACAAACAAGGTGAAATATTTAGGGAGGAAAATATTCTGCTTAACCGAATCCTCAAACATATACTCAAATAACTCCATCAAATTGGTCTTATCAGTGTCATCCACCCTAACATCAAAAGAACCACTTGTAGAATGAACTAACAGCCCACAGTGCACTCATCCTAAGAATGAATGATAAACAACAACATTTAACAACAGCATATTGCATCACAATCCAAACAACAATTCGCATACAATACATCAAACTTAACCTAAATAATTCAAATTCGAATTTAATATCATACCAACCAAACTAACATATATGATCATTGTCGAATAAACCCTAACCCTAACTCAATTTCGCAAAAAACAACAAAATCAGAGCTTGAATTGCAAATCAGTAAGGATAGTAATACCTTACATATGCTTAATCCAGCCTAAGTGCGAACTTGGTGCGAAATTCAGTCACGAACACCTTTCTCTCTCTCAAACCTCGTCAAGCTGCTTCTTTGTTCAATCGTAAGCCCAATTTGCTTTCCTAGTTGCAATCTACCTTACACCTTCGAAAGTTTGAAGCTTTTTGATTGATTTTTAGGGTTAAAGTGTAATGGAGAAAAATAGAGAGTAGCTTTAATGGAAAAGGGAAATGGGGGTCAATTTTTTCGAAGTGGAAATGTGATGTGTGGGAGAGTCAACCCTATCAATGGCGTCAGTTGGATGTATAAGGGCATAATAGTAAATTACCCCAAACGGCATACTAACGGCAGTTACCAAAAAAGGCATTTTGTGTTAATATACAGTAACTGATCTGAGTAGTATTTGGTGTATTAGAAAGTTTTTGGTGGTATATGGTGAATTAAGCTTTAAATCAGTGGTATATGGTGGAAATTCCGTTATTATTTATTTATTTATTTATTTATTTATTATTATTATTATTATTATTGTTATTATTATTATTATTATTATATCTCAAAAACATACAAAGTCATACAACCTACAATAAATTAGTGGGAAGCCGAGATACATACAATCTGGGCCCTTACCCCTCTAGCTATAGCAAAGCCTACCCTAGTGAAGATATGAGCTGCAGCACGAGCCCCAATGTCTTGCGTCGTCGAGAACCTCTAAACCCGTTTCAGCAACACAACTTCTCTAATTCCCCAAGCGAAGAAAAGGAGAAGGGAATAAAACCATATCCAATCAGCCAACAACTAGCTCCATACTTCACCCGCTTTCGATGAGCCGAATCTACCACAACCCGTCTAGGAACAAAGTCAGATAGCCCTGTCTGTGTCAAAGGAGAAGACCCTGTTAAGTCCACACAAATATCGCGACCATGATTCCAGGAATAAAGTAACACATCAGCAGGTTTGAGGGGCCCATCATTCCCTCCAGACAACCCTATGTCAACCTCTTTTCTTGCTGAAATCCCAGATCTGTAGCAGATATCAACAAGGGTATCGCGGACAACATTATGTCGATGTTTAATACCCACAATACCAGCACACGACACCGCGTGATCACCGAAAATATCCCCAGTAAAAACCGAGAACAAGTAGAGCACGACGTCGAGATAGAGAACAATGAAACACCCATCCTGTAATTATTATTATTATTATTATTATTATTATTATTATTATTATTATTATTAATATTATTATAGAAAAATAACAAAAACCTACAAAATCAATCGATTTACAAGAAATTAGAGGGGAGCCGAGATACAATGTGGGCCCCGACCCCTCTAGTTATAGCGAATCCGATTTTGTTGAAGATGTGAGCAACTGCACGAGCACCAATATTTTGAGTCCTACCGAACACCTGAACCCGCTTCAGCAACGCAACAACATCCTTCTCTAATTCCCCCAATGAAGAAAAGGAGAAAGGAAGAAAACCATAGCCAATAGCCCTGCAACGCGCCCCATACTTGTCCCGCTTCCGCTGAGCCGCAGCCGACACAACACGACCAGGAACGAAGTCAGATAACCCAGATTATGTCAAAGGAGAAGCCCCGGTCAAGTCCACACATACATCAAGGCCTATGTCCCAGGAATAAAGCAACACATCTACTGGTCGAAGAGTCTCGTTGTTCCCTCCAGTCAACCCAAAGTTAACCTCCTTTCTTGCAGAAATCTCATACCGAAAACAAATATCAACAAGGGTATCATGAACAACGTTGTGCCGATGTTTAATACCCAACATCCCAGCACAAGACACTGCATGATCCCCATAAATATCCCCATCAAAAACCCTTGAGGAAGCAAAACACGGTGTCGAAACGGAGAATAAAGGAACACCCAACCGGTAGCAAAGAAAAAGATTATTATTATTATTACTATTGCTATTACTATAACTATTACTATTATTATTAAACTTATCACCGTGTTAATTGTTTTACGTATTTATTATCGTTATGCTTATTAGCTTAATAAAATATGTCGTATTTTTTTTTATTGTTTTTATTATCATTAAAAAATTATCTAAATACTACACAAGAAAAAGTTTAGATGCAATTAACATCATATTAATTGGGGCATATAAGTAAACAAACATTTTAACGATATAATTATTCTCACTAGGGATGACAATTCAATCCGAGTTCGATTCGAATCTGAAGGAAAAAATCCGATCCGAATCCGTTTAAAATTAGTCCGACTTCTAATCCGTTAAAATAGATCCGAATCCGAATAGGAGGCAGATCGGACTTGGACCCTACGCAAAGTCCGACCGAGTTC